CTTCAAGGTATTTGGTTAACTGACTTCGCCAAAGTCACTGAGAACAGCCTGATTCACAATTCAAAGGAAAAAATAAATAAGGCCTTTTCTGTTATTTGTATTGAAGCGTTTTCTGTCAACACGGGAAAAAAGACTAATTAAATTTTCTTCTGACTTATTAAATTATGAATTCATGGTGCATATCTGTCTTTAGCCTGATCTCCATGTCTTAATGTTGTTATCACTATCATCATCAATCAATACTTAATTTGGTACCCTGCATATGCTAGACAAATAGCAAAATAAAAAAAAATGGAACATATACTCTAATTTTAACTACATACACATATCATTTAAATAACAACTGGAGGAAAAATTCACCAAAATTGTAATAGTAGTTTTGCTAGAGGTATAAGATTATAAGTAATGCTCACTTCAAAGTAGTCAGAATTTTATGTCTCCATATTTACAGCATAAAGCTCTAAAAAAAAAAAAAAACAGCATTCTAACTTTCAATCATTACTAAGAGAAAATCAGGGGTTAAAATCCTCCAAAGGGAGAGAGTAATATGCTAATATTTATTTTTAAAGTACATTTAATCAATACATTTATACAAATATGCATAGACAGTTGGGATATACCAGTTTCACTGGCAAAAGTCAGCATATTTAAATCAAAATCGGAAGCCCTAATCTATTCTGAAAGCAATATAAAAATCAAGTAAAAGCTTGTTGTTAGTTTAGGACCTGGAATTAGCTCTGGAACTGATGCAATCTGAAACCACAGCCAACAAGTTTTTACCAAAGTCTTTGTCCCAAAGGGAGAGGTTTCTTTTCTAATTCTCCAGAAGTGATAGATGGTGTTGGGATTGCCTTGAGACTTGAACTAAGGCAGGAGAGGGACACAGACATAAAATTCATTTTGGAATATCATTTTTCTTTCCAGCAAAAATGAAACCTAAATTATTTTTCACAATATGCAGTTTGTAAGCAAGTCCTTTTCTATTGAAGAGTTTAATTAGATTCTCTTTCATTTCCTCCTTTTTCCTGAGGAAACATAAACAGGAAGTTCATGCCTTGGAGGCCTGTTCCTGGCAGAATGGAAAAAAATGAACCTGTGGACTTTCTCAAGAGAAGGGATCATTACATTACTACTTCCTTCCTTATCTTCTCCAGAAGGCTAATCAAGAAAATGACTACACAAGCTGCACCCTACCCTGGAAGAGAAACAGCTCTTTGCCAGTATTTGACTAGAAGTCAACTTCAGAACTCTGAAACAGGTTTTTATCATACACTAGAGCCTGTGTCCAGTGGAAAAGATGATCTTTTTTTTTTTTTTGAGTTGGAGTCTCACTCTGTCACCCAGACTGGAGTGCAGTGGCCGCTCCCGGCCACCGCAGCCTCAACCTGCTGGGCTCCAGCGATCCTTCCGCCTCAACCTTCCAGGTAGCCGGAATTACAGGCATGCGCTACCACGCCCAGCTGATTTTTTGATTTATTGTAGAGATGAGGTCTCGCTGCCCAGGCGGGTCTCAAACCCGCGGGCTCAGGCAATCTACTCACCTCAGCCTCCCAAAGGCGTGGTATTACAGGCTAAGCCACCGAGCCCGGCGCAAAGATGATCTTAATACCCTCTTACCTGTTGATTGCATGTGCTTCAGTGTTGTCCTGAGAGTCATAAATCTCCAGTTCTACAAAATCAGAGAGAACGTCTACCATTTCATATTACTTAAGCAACATAAGGTATTGGGTATTACACAGCCAAATACTGAGCAAATTCAAAAAAGAAGAAAAATGCTCCTACTGAGGGAGATCTTTGTGATGATGGAAAAGATCTGTATCTTGATTGCTGTTATTACAGCCTGACTGGGTTCTTTTTTTTTTTTTTTTTTGAGTTGGAGTCTCACTCTGTCACCCAGACTGGAGTGCAGTGGCACGCTCCCACCACTGCAGCCTCAACCTGCTGGGCTGCGGCGATCCTTCCGCCTCAGCCTTCCAAGTAGCTGGAATTACAGGCACGTGCTACCACACCCGGCTAATTTTTTATTTATTGTAGAGATGAGGGCTCGCCAAGTTCCCCAGGCGGGTCTTGAACCCGCAGGCTCAGGCAATCCACTCACCTCGGCCTCCCAAAGCGCTGGGATTACAGGCTGAGCTACCGAGCTGGGGGCCCTGACTGGGTTCTTACGACTGCTGCCCAGGAAACCCAGGCTGTTGCAGCCATTAGAGTGGAGAAAGTTTAACATTACACAGTAGTTGAGCAAAGAGGACAGGAGCTCTTTCGCATATGCACCTGTCCCAGAATTCAGAGGCTAAGATTTTTAAAGGGCAAGCACAGGGCTAGGGACTGCTGATTGGTTGATGATGTTATAGAATGTTGAAATTGCCTCCATGTCCCAGAGCTGTTTTCTTGGTATGTGTTCTGGGCCAGGGTGGGGCCTCAAGCCTACAAAGCAAGTCCGGTGACCAAAGGCTACCAGGTCAGGGGCAGTGAACCCTTATGAAGGTAGTTTAAGAGGAAGGTATGGGGGAGGTGGGATCCCCGGAGACTGTAGCCACTTCTGTTTGTCAACCTCCACTTTTCTGTCAACTCAGTCTTAAACCAATTGTTTAAGGGAGACTAAGTTTATCAGCCTTGGGGAGAAGCTTCCCATTGCCCAGGGGTCAGGACATGAAGATAATCAAATGTCCTCTGCTGGGGAGAAAGCAAACCTAGCCACAACAGATTGGTTAAATTCTAACCATAGAAGCAGTATTTCAGGGCTCAGGGCTCTTCTACAGTCTTTATTCCATGCCCTGATGTTAATTTAATATAGGCCATTTTGCTGTGGTTATGTGAAATTGATAAAATGACATAGAATTACAAAAATATATATTGTGTCATGTCCCTTTCCTGGTTTGGGGCCTACACTGAAAATGTAACTTGGAAGAAACTGGGTAGAGTGTACATGTGGCCTCTCTGTGCTGTGTTTGTAATTTCCTGTGAATCTGTACATGTTACAAAATAAAACTTTTTTTTGTTTTTTTGGGTTTTTTTGAGTTGGAGTCTCACTCTGTCGCCCAGACTGGAGTGCAGAGGCATGCTCCCCGCCACCACAGACTCTACCTGCTGGGCTCCGGCGATCCTTCCGCCTCAGCCTTCCAAGTAACTGGAACTACAGGTGCACGCTACCACGCCCAGCTAATTTTTTGATTTATTGTAGAGATGAGGTCTTGCCAAGTTGCCCAGGCAGGTCTCGAACCTGCAGGCTCGGGCAATCCACTCACCTCAGCCTCCCAAAGCGCGGGATTGAGCCACCAAGCCCGGCTTGTTGTTGTTTTTGAGCCAGAGTGTCACTCTGTCGCCCAGGCTTGAGTGCAGTGGCATGCTCATGGCCACCGCAGCCTCGACCTGTGGCGCTCAGGCGATGCTTCCACCTCAGGCTTCCAAGTAGCTGGAACCACAGGCCCGCGCCACCACGCCCAACTATTTTTTGATTTATTGTAGAGACGAGGGCTCGCCAAGTTGCCTGGGCTGGTCTCGAACTCCAGGAGTCAGGCCGTCCTTTTGCCTCCGCCTCCCAAAGTGCTGGGATTACAGGCATGAACCACCGCACCCGACTTATAAAACCAAGGTCAGGCTTGGTGGCTCAGCCTGCAATGCTAGCACTTTGGGAGGCCAGGGCGAGTGGATTGCCTGAGCATGCGGGGCTCGAGACCACATCTCCACAATAAATAAAAAAAAACATTAGCCAGGCGTGGTAGCGCGCGTCTGTAGTTCCGGCTACTTGGAAGGTTGAGGTGGAAGGATCGCTGAGCCCAGCAGGTCGATGCTGGGGTGGCTGTGAGCGTGCCACTGCACTCCAGTCTGAGCGACGGAGGGAGACTCCAACTAAAAAAATATATATAAATTATAATATATTTATAATTACATAAATATTATACTTATATATTTTATATATATATTTTAAAGTGCACCTTCCTGTGTGCGTGAACATACTTTCAACATTTTGCATCAGCACAAATCAGGGAGAATGAAACATGGCGTGGTTTTCAAATGGGAGGTTTTCAGCCACAACCCAAGAGAAGGCTTGAGGCTGCGCGAATGCCCCTTCCCTTGGCCTGGGACACTCCTCAGGATCTCCTGCAGGACCTCCTGGTCTGTCCCCCTTCCAAGGCTGGCCCCCTCTCCTCGTTCAGGCGACATCTCAAAGCCACCTCCTTACAGGGCTCTTCCCTTGACCTGACCTAAGCAGACCCCTCTGCTGTCCTCTGAATGCTCCGTTCCCTTCACAGCGCCCTTCGCGTGTAAAGATTCGCCCGGTCGCGCGTGTCCCCACGAGAGTTCGAGGACCGGCACCGCGTCTATCCCTTGCCAGCCGCACCCCCAACAGAGCGCACACTTCCTGCTCGACGGCACGGGCCCCAGGACTGTCTCTGACAAGATGCACCTCACTCGAATTCGTTCACTCTTAGACTGGGGAGCGGCCACGTCGGCCCTCCCAGCCCAAGCTGTCCTCAGCGCCCTCCCCTTGGCCCCATCGCTGCCCCTCAGCCCGCTCCCCTCAACTCGGACCCCACCGCGTCAGGGGAGGGCGCCATTTTCATCCAACTCCTCAGCCCAGAGGCGGCGCCTGGGTCTAGCGCCTCTGTCCCGTAGGGCGCCTTTTCCCCCACTCGCTGCTTTTCCTCAGGTCTTGCCACACCCCTGCTTCCGCCCCCGATCCAGCCGCCTCCCCAGTAGCCTCAGCCTCCGCCCCACGTCCCTGGGGCCTCCGTTCCTCCCGACGCCGCCTCGCCCCCTAGCCCACTGCCCTCAGCCCCCGAACCTAACGGGAAGCGACCGCTAAACGGACGCGCCAGAGTGACGGGTGGGAGGGCGGTCGGGGGCGTGTCCTCCTCCTCGATCCTGGGCGCCTATTGGCCAGATGGGAGGGGCGGGACCTGGCTAGGGGTGGGGCTGCAGACAGGGTCTCGTGCCCCCCGGCTCCTCCGGGCATTCCTCGTGGCTCTGGCTTGGGTGGCCGCTGCGGCTAAGGGTGCGATTCCAGCACGGGCAGCATGGATGAGAAGCGGCACACAACGGACGCCGAAGCCCGGAGGCTGCCCGAGTCCTTCAGAGGTGAGCTCCGCGCCTCCCTCCCGCCGCCCCTTAAGCCCTCCCGGGGGCACCGAGCCCCAGCCTGCGGCGTGAGCTCCGCGCTCTGACAGTCGGGCTCCAGGCCCGTTTCCGCTGCTTTGGGCTGTGCCAGCTCTTCTCATAGCCGTCGTCTCCTCACTTGTAAACTGAGTTTGCAAGTTTCGCAGACGGAAGGGGATGCCGCGACGTAAGGGTGCTAGGTGCCTCGGGCATAGCCGGTGCCCAGCACGAGTCAACGGCAGCGAGCGTTTGCGCTACTCAGAACCGCGGCGGGGGCGCGGGCTTTCCCGCGGTCGCCAGATGCCAGGCCCTGTGCCAGCGCTTCATTGTCTCTTGTCCTGCGCACGGACGAGGAGACGCGGACGGAACTGGCCGCCAGCGAGTGTCAGAGCCGGGGCCCCCGCATCTCCACCCCTCGCCCACTCCCCTTTTTTTCCGCCTTACTCCCTCGAGGGCCACCTTCGCCCAGGCCTCGCCCGCCGCCGGCCTGAGCCGCCTCCTCCGGAACTGGAAAGAACTCCTGCTTCCCAACCCTACCCCACCTCCTGACACTTAGGACGAATTCGCGGAAGGAAGGAAGTGGGGGGGGGGCGAGGAGGAAGGAAGGAAGGAGGGACCGAGCCTCTTCTTGACTTCGCCCATCTCTCTAGCTCCACTTTCTGCCGCGTGTTGCCCTCTCCACGTTACTGTCTTAGAGAAGTCTCCTTTGGAGCTTTTGTCCCGCACAAGGGGCTACCCGACCCTCACTCCTACCCTACCAGGGCTTGCCCCGTCTTGAAGGCAGGAACCGTCCGTGGCTCAATCTCGTTCCCCTGTGAAGGAACCCGTGCTTTTGAGAGGGCTGCTACCTCGAGCCTTTGTTGGCCGACTCCCGGGGGGTGGGAAGAAGGGAGGTTCCGATAAAGAGAGGAGGTGAACCCCTCAGGAACCCCTAGTGATGCAAAGGAACTGCGGTATTTCTAAGGATGGAACGTCAGGATGACATAGTGAAAGCAATTTAGAGGGCTGGGGGGGCCTTTCCAGCACTCCACAACGAACACTTGAGTTGGAGTCATCTATTCTGATTTTTTGTAAAGCCAGCTTTGTCCACCCACCTTTTATATAAGTCTCATTTTCTTTGTCCAGAGATTCCTGTCTTTAGTTCCTTCCCAGGAGCATCAAGAGAATTATAGAAATCTTTATCCCTAGCTTTTCTCTACTCAGCACTTGGGAGCCTTCCCAAATTGAGAGTGTAACAGCCAGGAACTGATGAGAATAATAGAAAAGAAACTGAACGCCAACCAGGACAGCCTCTGTGCCAAGTATTTGATATACCTTCTTTTATTGAATCCTCATAGCATGATTTGGTAGGTGCTGTTCTTATCCCCATTTTATACTTGAAGAAATTAATACTCAAAGAGGTTATGTTACTTAAAGCACACATTTGAATATGAATTTGCCTGATTCTCATACTTGAACAGGAAAGAATGATGCAATAGCACCTGTTTGATAATTAGTTGTTTTTTCTTAGATCAGAAGGTGGGTGGCATGCATTCTTCAGTACCCTGACCTCTTGGTGGGAAACTGCAGTGGGAAATCTGTTTGAAGGAGTTCTTGGGAAATAAACTTGATCTTTGTACTTTTATTTAGTAGTTTTTCATGATCAAAGAACAGTTTTTACTTCCAATTTTTTTTCTTTGTTCTACACTTAACTATTTTTTAGACAAATCTTTTGAGAATCTAATGAAAACTATTGTACCCACTCAGAAAGTTGTACATGGAAACAAAATTTTGCATAATCTATTTTTTTAAAATGTGAAGCTGGCCAGGCTCGGTGGCTCAGCCTGTAATCCCAGCACTTTGGGAGGTGGTGAGTGGATTTCCTGAGTCCGCGGGTTCGAGACCTGCCTGGGCAACTTGGCGAGACCTCATTTCTACAATAAATCAAAAAATTAGCTGGATGTGGTAGTACGCGCCTGTAGTTCCAGCTACTTGGAAGGCTGAGGTGGAAGGATCGCTGG